AGTGCGTAGCTGTGGGTTAAAAATGATATAACATAGGAGCGTGGTACCTTTATTTTCGTACAGAGCAGCTATGAGCTATGGAAAACTATATGAAGTAGTTTGGATTCAGGCCATACGAGTGATTAACTCGAAATCAGTATTTCACCTGAGCTTCGAAGGTTAGATACATGCTTTTGAATTTCTTATTTCGATGAAAAAAAAGACTTTGTCTCATGTATATGGAGCAGCACACTAATTTTTAATGCAAAGCCCATGCCAAATTAGGTGAGAAACGCAAAGAGGATTTGCTTCAACCTCATCACCCGTCACCCAATTAGCCTAACAAATCAGCCTTCTGCTAACTCGGGCTCGAGTTGACGCCACGCAGCCACTGCGGAGCCGTCAAGCATCAGTAATTTTACCATCACGATAATTTGAGCGGCATCGATCATTTGAAACCCTCTTCCGCTAATCAGTCCTCTCCAATCAGCATTTTTCGCTGAAAATGATGTGGGCAGTGTCAGCCGCACCACATATCTTGGCCCACTCGAACTCACCGGTCATGTCATTTGTGTTAACGAGCCAACAGAGACGGCCCGGGCGGGGAGGCAATCACGGACCCCACCAGCGGACCCTACTAGCCACTCTAATCAGATTACTTCGCACTGGGCGCCGGCCGGCGGACATTTAGCCGGTGCGCGGCCGGTCCGGCAGCGATCGCGACTGAATCTAGTTTGCATGAGGCTGTTAACGAACAGGCTGCCGGCTGCGACATAATAGTCGACAGGCTGTGTGTCGAGCGGATGGTAGAGAGAGGCCTCACGAGCGGCCTCGGCCTCTCGTGAGGCCTCGGCCTCACGAGAGCAGGCCGAGAGCAGGCCGTGAGCAAGATTGCCCGACAGGAGACAGAGAGAGAGAGAGAGAGAGAGAGAGAGAGAGAGAGAGAGAGAGAGAGAGAGAGAGAGAGAGAGAGAGAGAGAGAGAGAGAGAGAGAGAGAGAGGAGGGAAAAAAAACTAAAAAAACATAAATGTCAGACAATGCATGGATCCGAGTGATGGATCTGTGATCTCAATGGATCTCGGAGCAAACTGCAAGCTAGGATCTATGATCCCACCGGATCCTGCGCGAAAAAATATCCTGGATCTACAATCTCATGGGATCTGATGACAAAACAAGAACGTGGATCTATGATATGAGTGGATACCGCCATGCACAACATTTGAAACTAGGTTTCCAAAAAATAAATGAGGATCTATTTTCTCAATGGATCTCAAACAAAAATTTAGACCTAAATCTATAATCCTTACGGATCTCCCGATAAAATAAATGGTTGGATGTATGATCCCTTGCGATCAGAGACCAGGATCCGTAGGATCAGATCCCAAATCCATTTTCCCGGATCCATGCACATGTCTGATAAATGCAGGGAGGCTGGAGCCTTATAAACAGACAAATAAGCACATGAAGACACCAATAGATACAGACACAGACAGGCAGGCACAAAAAACCTACAATAAGTGCTAAGCAAGCGGAGGCAGACAGGTGAAAAGCACATACAGGGTGATCGAAAAAAAGTGTCACCCCTAATTTAAAAGCCATATAACTCGCGATTGGTTGGTCGTACGACTTTGCGCCAGGCAGCATTGGAAAGAGCATACAATTTCCTTTCGAATTGATGTAAATATGCATGGTTTATGCCGCAAACGAAGATGTAGCTATTCAAAAAGTATGTTAAGGACGCAATTTGGCGTGTTCAAAAGCGTGGCCTCCAAAAAGTCCTGACCTAAAACCCGATGGACTTTTTCGTATGGGGAGAACTGCAGAGGCTCGTGTACCGCGGCGTGAAGATCCGTGATCTAGACCACCTGAGAGAGCAGCTGCAGGTGTGTTGGGCTAAGATCTCCCAGCGTCAGGTGATAAAGGCGATCGAGGCCTTCCCAAAACGCCTGGAGGCGTGCATCGCCTGCGGTGGCGGTCAGTTCGAGCACCGACTCGACTTCGAGTGAAGACGAGTCTAAGGTCAGCTGAGAAACAATCTGCAGTGAACAACATACACTCCATGTGTAATGTGTAAGGTGTATGTCATGTTGAGTTACGATACTCATTGTTCTCGTTCAGCGGTGTCCGATCCCGTTCGGTGAATTTCGTTTCACGCGAAAGCCGCACATTGACTGGTTTTTGAGCCCATGGGGACATGATTTGGAATAGAAAACAATCATGAATACATTCAATTGAAAAGAAATTGCCTGCTCTTTCCGATGCTGCCTGGCGCGAAGTAATCCGACCTACCAGTCGCGAGTTATGTAGATTTTAAGTTAGGGGTGACACTTTTTTTCGATCACCCTGTACAGGGTGTCCGGAAAGTCCTGGCGCTTCTATTGGACGTCGTCTAATGCGTGCTGTGATTATTGGACATTCAACTAATCACCACAGACATTACCCCTTGTTGGCCACTTAGCCAGGGGTCGTGTTAATATGACCTTGAAATCGTTTTTAGTGATGGGTGGATGGGCGAAGATGCGCCTTGTCGCGGAATGCCTGCGCGCGGCGGCCGGGTGGGGCTTGAACGAGGTGCGAGTTACAACGCGATGCGGCGGTTTTTGGCGCATGGTTGAGCAGGTGAAGGCTTATTCCGACTCCAGAATTCCTTTAGAAATATCCCCCAGACCGGTACGACCGCGCTATGTTAAAACTGCCGAGAATTTAGCAGCATTTCCGCGGCAATCGAAGAAAATCCAGAGGTGTGATGGACAAAAATGTTCCATATCTTCGTCAATGTTAGATAAATGAAAACGCAGGCTGGTCCACGAGGAAATCCTGAACAGGCATATCAACCCGAGGGTCAAGGTGACTTGCCCTAAGGGTTACTTCGCATTTCACTTTTCGACAGCACGCAGCGTCCTCCAACAATGCCGCTATCGCCCAAGCCATACCTACTGACGGAGGAGCTCGGCGGGCCAGATCACTTTGGCGAAATGAGATTAGGCCGCCTCATTCGCCTAACCTTAACCCGCTTGACTAAGGCGTGCCCGCGTTTTTTAGAATAAGCTCTGGGCCACCTGTCATCCCAACCTGGAGTCGCTGAATACTCGCTACATGGCAGCATGGGAGGACTTGGAAATGTCATACATCGTCAAAACACGCAGGTGCTTCCGCCCTTGCGTCGAGGCTGTCGTCGGTGCCGACGATGGTTATATTGAATGAGCACTTAGCGGAAGTATATGGCTTGGTGTCCCTGATAATTGTTTTGATCTTTTGTTGAGTATCTATCAACCAGAGGCATTTGTTTTCAAAAATGTTGGAAAGCGCCAGGACTTTCCGGACACCCTGTATATTGCTTGCATGTACTGTTTTGGCCTTTATAATTGAATAGCGCCACGTTCCATTGCGAACCCGATGTCTGACGCCCCCGGAAGCCTGCAGAGCTTGTGATTAATGTGCATAGTACATTCTCAGCATGATCTACCTATCGATTATTGGCAGCTGTTAAAGATTGGGTAATCATGGAATCGGAAGGCTAGAAATCTTAGTGAGTGGCGTTTCCGACAGTGCCCTGAAATATCAATGGTGAGCATTAGATCTATCAGTTCTATTTCAAGCTTTGATGTCTGCTGTTATAAACATATCTAAAAAAGAAGAAATAGTTTAGAATCGGTTATTATTATAATCCATACGGCCATGGGCTACTGCTGCATGTTCCTGACAATCATTGGCGCATGCCAACCGATCCTGTTTTCGCAATGCATATTCATCACTAGCGGCAAGGAGCGCGTGGCCGGCGAATGAGTGGCGGCAGGGCGCAGATCAATAGGCGAACACCTCTGAATGACCCCTGCAGGCACGGTCACACTGTGTCTAGGTCGCCCCCCCCCCGCCCCCGAGTCGGTCCGTGGGGGGAGCCGGTAGCGACGCTTACACGTGACGGGCGCAGGTCACGCCAGCCATCCAATACAGCGAGTAGCGATCGAGCCTGACTGCCTCCCGAGGCGAACACAGGGGGCTGAAGGCTGCTGGATTATTAATTTCATCAGAAAGTGTGCAATTATTCGCGGTAAGTAACCAGTGAAATTCTTTCAGTTGACGCCAAGTGACACAATAGATCTAAAAGAAGTAATATCAGCTAATATTCCGCAGGAACTGCATCACTCCCTTCCCTGGCAACTTGAAAGCCTTCGCTTGCCCGTCCTACCCAAGAAGATCATTACCACTCGTTTCACTACCACCTTCTAGCAGTATATATGATCCCGCCCCAGTCTGACCTTTAGTTCGCACCCATAGCCGCTCATGCCTGTCCATTTCCGGCGACCATTATCCTTTTCCTACCACTCGACACTACAACTGTGGAGCCTTATAGGGTCGGGGCTGGGAGACGTCACAGCCTGGGCCGGGAGGGGGCGGGCCAGGACGATTCCGGACGCTATTTCAATCACCTGACCGCGCCACTGACCAGCCGGACGATTTATGGGAAATCGAACCTCAGTGACGGGCGTGGCCGTCTCTGCGGTTATGGGCGCCGCCCCACCATCAAACCGGCCCAATCATTTGCTATCGATGAAAACGCCCGGTTTATGATGCGAGCGATTTCTAATTGAAATCAGTGCTACGTCGGGTGGCATGCATGTCGAAAAACTATTTAATGTTATGTGTACGATGAGGTGATCAGTATTAGTGAAAGCCTTCCTCTTTTGAACTATGGGGTTTCTAGCCAGATCAAAGACCATCTGCTTGACGTAATATGGCATCTTTTACTATGGCGGCAAATGAGAGACCCGTTAAGAAAATATTCATATCCGAAAGTAGGAATGGTGATCTCGTATGATATAGCTAGACGTGAAAGCCTGTTATTTTTCCGATTAATAAATTGCCACAGAAATACTGTGGGCTTTTCTGTCATTATTTCAGCCACATAGCCCCATGAAGCACAAGTCCATCGTTCCCGGCAGCACCCATCTGAGACGCAGCCCATCGACCCCAACATCAGACTGGCGCCAGCAGTAAGCGCCAGTGACGGATGACTTACCGATGACGCCGAGGCGGACGTCGCCAGTGACGGTCGGTATCCGCCGGAAGTCGATTCGGCACCGGAAGCGGCCCTGGTCGGCGGGCCGCACGTCGTGCAGGATCAGCTGGTTCTCTTCGGGTCGGTAGGTAGCGCGCGCCTCCCCGAGCACGCCGTGGTCCGACCAGTGCAGTGGGGGCCGGCCGTCCCGGCTGTCGAAACTGGAACATGGAGGGAGGGTCAGTGGTTAGAGAGAGGGAGAGAGAGATAGAGGGAGAGAGAGAGTGAGAGAGAAAGAGAGGGGAGGAGGGAGGGAGGGGGAGAGGGGGAGAGAGAGAGAGAGAGAGAGAGAGAGAGAGAGAGAGAGAGAGAGAGAGGAGAGAGAGAGAGAGAGAGAGAGAGAGAGAGAGAGAGGAGAGAGAGAGAGAGAGAGAGAGAGAGAGAGAGAGAGAGAGAGAGAGAGAGAAAGGTAGGAAGAGGGAGAGAGCGAAATCCGATCATATATTTCTTTACAACAGCAGACCAATGCTCATTTAAAGTGTTTTAAACCGCATTCCGGACGGGCCTCCAGGCTCTGTAAACACGCGTAACAAGGCGAATTCGAAAGTCCGAAGCTCAATCCTGATTGAAATTCACAGCGGCATTCAAAACCAGATGGCAAACTACTTCGCCGTTCTGGGAAGAAAACACGGCACTCAGATGAACTTCGGTCGAGTAAGGAGCACGCCAAAGTTTGAATTAGATGTTTCCTGACTGGCCCTCCTCTTTGTACGTCTTTGAATAACAAGCTCAGTTAAAATGGCCGGGCTGGCTCGGGGAACTTTGGTTTACGATATCACAGCGCTTTTTGCGTCTCAATTGGCGTAGTGTATGGGCGTGTAACGTAATACCTACCCGCGGGCTACGGCCTCCGCTGAACTTCAGTTGCCCGTCTGCTATCGACTCGGCCAGGTTTATGGACCAGGCGCGGGCTACGGGATTTGGTAACTCTATGACGTCATTTCAGCATTTCAGAGGATGCTGGACGCTCGATTCCATGAAAAGGCTTTGAATTACCGACGAGAGACATGCCAGTCGACCTCGAGCCATTGAGTTGGAGTGATGCCAGCAGCTGAGCTTCCAATGAGCTTGGTCGGGCAAAACTTGTACCGCGCTCAGCGTTCACCAGCACGTGAGATATTGTGCTTTGAACGAGGCCAGAGCTATGGCCGGCCTTGCACAGCCTCGTTTAGTGCTGTCACCTCTTGCGAAGCCCCGTGTAGTGTCAGCTGTAAGCTTTAGCGAAACATCTGGGGCTTCACTGGTGAGCTTCGTCGTCGCGCCGTGCAACGACAAGGAGAACAACATTACAGTGAACGGTTGCCTTGCGTGCATTTGATCACAAAGATATCGGGTAGGCAGATAACTTGAACTTATCAAGCTCAAGATAGCATATCTCGGTAAGTCTATACACACTCAACACATAGAAACGATACCACTTTTAGGTGAAAGGTATTCGTGACAAGCATAAGAGACTGATTGCACATAAGTTTGCCAGCCTTTCGCAGCTATGAGTTTCAAAACGTTCCCTTATGCTGACCGTGACTC